TTTAAAAATAGCTACCGTGACCATTATCTAAGCAAGTTGGTTGGTAATGTGCCTTACTAGTAACTTTTAAGTGTCACAAAATGAACAAAATAGTATTTTTTTTCTAATATTGCTCAAGCAAAAACTTACCTGAAAACCACAGATGTCACACAGATGTGAGTGAGCCACCTTCTCTCTGGTGGGTTGCTAAGAGATGAATAACTGGGCACGCGCAAACAGATAAGCGCAACATCGGCCTCCAGTAGTGAGCAGACTCAGAGCCGACGTTTGATGAGCTGGGAAAATAGAGCACTGACTGAAGATATCTGCCTATGCCTGGCCAATACTTCTTAGATGTTATAGCTAGGGAGGCTGACGTTCCGCTCTTTGGCCGACGTCTGCCAGACGTACGTGTGCTTTCCGGTATTGTACAGGTCAAGTTAATAAAATCACAAAATAAATATATTTGCATTGACAACATATATGAGAATACACTACTGGTCAGTAAGATTTTTTCTGAAATTAAAAATTATTTGTAATAAAATTGGTACTTTCATTTAATAAGCCTGCATTAAATTGATCAAAAGTAACAGTAAAGACATTTATAATTTCACAAAAGATTTATATTTCAAATAAATGCTATAAAAATGTATCACATTTTGAACAAAAAATATTAAGCAGCACAATTGTTTTCAACTCTGATAATAGACTGCACGGAACATCAGATAACATCTGCCTGTGGTGTTTTGTGTCCTGTTTCTTCTTTTTTTCTAAATCCAATTTTGTCTTTATTGTGGTTTATGGCTGATTTTAGACAGGGCAACTTTTCAGGCGCCATTGCCCAGCAACAGGCAGGAAATGGATCGCAGGTTGAGACATACAATTATTTTGGATGTCAAATTTTGCTCCCCATCTCCCACTGCTGGCCATTTAATAATATAATGAATGATCATAAAATAATAAATCATATAATATATATATTAATATTATAATAAATTGATTAATATAATATAATAAATTGATTATAATATATATATATATATATTAATATAATACATTGATAATAAAATGAAATATTATTAATATTATAATATAATCAGCATATTAGAATGATTTCTGAATGATCATGTGACACTGAAGACTGGAGTAATTATGCTGATTTGCCATCACAGAAATAAATTGCATTTTAAAATATATTCAAATAGAAAACTGTTATTTTAATTGTAATAATATTTAACAATATTACTGTTTTACAGCATTTTTGATCAAATAAAAGCACACTTAATGAGAGACTATATATGAATTTCTTTCTGAGCTGTATATATTCAAATAGAAAACTGTTATTTTAATTGTAATAATATTTAACAATATTACTGTTTTACAGCATTTTTGATCAATGCAACGTGAGAGACCGTTCGAAAGAGAACATGGCAAAAAAGCAGTTAGGACTTCGCTTTAAGAATCATATATGCCACTTCACTGCCATAACTTTTATCGTTTTAACTGTTTCCTTTAAACAGATCAAGGGCTTCAGTCTTTTGACGTCTGCATCATATGCTGTAGAGTGGTTATATGCTGCACTGAAAGCCCTCAGTGAACGGTCACAATTTGTGTTTTACCAATTTAATGACCGGTGTTTTACCAATTTAATGACCGGGCACTATGAACATTAGACATGAACAGTAATTTAAAACTAATTTTAACTTTCAAGCCAGGCTGTCGAGGCAACATAAAAGTTCATCTTAACAAACTTTACTTTTCTAGTTTAATATAAGAGTATGTAGGCAGTAGGTCTATGCAAAGGTGTACAAAAACCCTGGGGAATCTGTTAGTCTTAATGCGGTCCTGCACAAACTCACACACTCTTCCTGCAGGAGAAACTAAACCCATTCAAAGAAACAACGCAGGGCATTCTACTGTGAAGGGTCCCCATGGATGGACACACACACACACATACAGGCTATGCGCTGCGGCACACACATATCTCTTGAGTACAGTGAAAAGAAGAAGATTGAAGTGGTGAGAGAAATTATATTATTATATTATTGAATATGAGATTTCAGGTACAAAAAAATAATGAAGCATCAATAGAATAGTGCTAGATATAGTTTGTTTATTAGTTATAAGTAACTGAAATCACAATGGCAAGTGGCATTAAGGAAGCAGTATGAATAATTGCTAAATTAAAAGGGCTTTTTAAAATATTTAAAGAATTAGCATTTATTTTTATATTTTCAGTTTTCAGTTTTCAGAATTTTTTTTTGTTATGTGCTTTTGTCATATTTGTTTGTTTGTAAATATTACTTTATGTTGCATTTATATATATTTCAGTTAGAGTTTTTTATTTATTTCCAGTTAGTAACTTTAGTGTTTTAGCTTATTTCAGTTAGTTGCCAAAGAAACATTCCTATTCTCCATTTAATGTTTTTCATTCAATATTTCTATTTCATTTTATTTCTGCTTTATTTCACATAATATAAATGTTTTAAAAAGTTATCGTTTTAGGTAATAGTAATAACTGAGTCCTGATCCCAAACTCATGCCATTAGTTGAGCCAGTGTTGCCTTGTCAAGGTTTGACTGGTTATCGTTAAAGGATTAGTTCACTTCCAGAATAAAAATTTCTGGATAATTTCCTCACCCCCATGTCATCCAAGATGTTCATGTCTTTCTTTCTTCAGTCGAAAAGAAACTAGGGTTTTTGAGGAAAACATTCCAGGATTTTTCTCCATATAGTGGACTTCAATGGGGATCAAGGGGTTGAAGGTCCAAATTGCAGTTTCACTGCAGCTTCAACGGGCTCTACAACGATCCCAATCGAGGAATAAGGGTGAGTAAATTATCAGGAAATTTGTATTCTGGAAGTGAACTAATCCTTTAACTCTGTTAGCTCCTGCTGGTAGATATCATAACTAGACTATCTGGCTGCAAAATGCATCTTTCTCCAATGATGGCCGTTCAAAAACATTCTGTCTGAATAAACTTTTTGTTTTTTTCTGACAGATTTTTTTTTTTAATCAACATTTACAAATTACATTTATTTTATTAGAGTAGCATCCACCTTTTTCGGTAGGGCTCTTAAAAGTGTGAAATGGACATATATTTGTATATATTTGTCCCCGTCTTGCTCAGGATATTCAATACTGAATTATTTGAGATCTTGGAATTTTACCTATCAAACAAGCACCACATGTTTCACTGATTTATTGAAAGTTAATGTCACATTATGAGAAGATTTAAATATGCTCAAATAGGGTTTGCTTACTTACTACAAATGTTTTTTCTTATATTGATACACTTATATCTGCTATTCAAGCTCCAACCAAAGAGTTTATTTGTCATTATGATGGAAGAGTAAATTGTCCACGCACAAGTATGAGTACCTCACTGTAACCTCTAGCAGACCTCTAGATGATGCTGTGACTGCATGCAGACAATGAACAATAAAAAGAGATGCACAGACAGAAATCATGAGAATAACACAAGTGAAATCAGTGAAATCATAAAACAGCCCAGGCATAATATGAAATCATGATAGTGACAAACATAAAGGCAAGTAACTAAAATACTATATAAATGCTAAAATATTCAAATGATATTTGTTTTGTGAGTGATGTATGTGTATGGTACCTGAAGCATGGCAGAGAGATCACAGTCTCATAGAATCTCCATGTGGCGATGAGATCATCTCTGACGGGGTTGGTGGAGTAGTATCTCCATGCAGCCTGAAATCAATATTCAGTATTGAACATTAAGCAAATGTGCTGTTGTGAAATGAGCTTAAAGGGGTGGATTTACTGCTGATTTAAGTTTATGATGTTTCTGGTTACCTGTATTAATGAAGCTGCAGGATTTCTGCGTTTCTCAAAGTGTTTCTGCCTGTGCTGTTCCTGAACCTTCAGGGCCAACCCAGACCCAAGAATACCCTACAAACATAACCAGACTTTAGCATAAACTGGTAGGCTATTTTAAAAATAGCATACTATCATACCATTTCCATTTGTAAATTTCCCAAACTGAATGATGTTCCGCTCCTACAGCCCAAACAAAAATCTCTCTTAAGAGTCAGTTCATGTAAGTGAATCAACCACAGACAGCTTACAACTTGTGATTCTTTTGTGTTGCACTTTGTCTTGTAAGACTGATATCAGTTACTGATTGCTCGCTTGTTCATATGACAATGTGTAGTTAAATATACATTCAATGACTTTTGTCAGTAATATTTGATATAAAATGAATGAATAAATGTAACCACGTGATTTTGTTTAGTATTGTTGTTTAATATATAGTCATGAGCCAATTTATATATTATATTTATGCTGCCTCTAAAATAAAAGTTATTAAAAAGTCTGTGTAAACACACCTTTTCCAAAATAGTTTTACGCTGAGTTACTCTCAAAATCATTGGAATTGTAAAGGAACTGAAATCATTAAAGGGATAGTTCACCCAAAAATGAAAATTACCTCATGAAAATTACCACCCTCAAGCCATCCTAGGGGTATATGACTACAGTCAGATTTCTATTAAAAAATGTCCTGACTCTTCCATGCTTTATACTGGCAGTGAATGGTGGTCAAGATTTTGAAGCCCAAAAAGTGCGTGCATACATCATAAAAGTACTCCACACGGCTCCAGGGGGTTAATAAATGCCTTCTGAAGTGAATCGATGCGTTTGTGTAAGAGAAATATCCATATTTAAAACTTCCTATACCATAATCTCTAGCTTTCGGTAAATGTCGTAAGGACATTTTTGAATATAACTCTGATTGTATTCGTTTAAAAGAAGAAAGTCGTATACCCCTAGGATGGCTAAAAAAGTGAGGAGTGAGCATGTTTTTTTTTTTACTAAATTTATCTTAATTATAATTGTAGGGCTGATTTTTTTTTCCAATCAAATCAATCATCATATATTCGCTTAAAAAAAAGGGGATAATAATGAACAAGTAATAATGTCGGCTTGGAACAAACTTTAAAGTAGCCATTAAAGCCTTGGCACTGTATGAATTTAAAAGATGAGCATCTCAAAAAGGGAGCTAAAATGAAACTAAAAACAGGTGCATTAAAAGAAGTGAGCTTTTGTTTTTGCTTTTTTATTTGTTTGTTTGTTTTTACTATATACTGTATGTACAAATATATATTGTACTAAATATATACACATATGTTTACATACATTCACTCTTAAAAAAAAGATTTTAAAAAATCCCATGCATAACCCAGAAGTAATGCAGGTTTGATACTAATTCACAATTCAATTTAAAAAAAGTTCTGAATACATGTGATAGCCGTGCGTCGTTCTCACCAGTCCCCACCAGAGGGCGTCTGCATAGGTATCAAAGTCCTGCGGGGCTGGTGTTGGGGAGGAGCCCTCCATATCTGTTAGCTCCATGGTAACTTCATCCTTCTCAACCAGGTACACTAGGAAGGAAGCCAGGATCAATGACAGGAAGCCGATGTACCACGCTGTGATCAGCTCCTGACCGCACACACCAGCCGGGAAACACACACACACAGCAGTACTGAGATCAAACTTCACCAGACACTGATATCTGATTGTTTGTGCTTGCGTATGTACTTTGCATGTCTGTGTATCGCAGACCATAGCATATTTGAGGGATGAGTGTGTGTGTGTGTGTACACTGGATTGTGTGCATACTGCCGACCCCATAGGTTTATTTGAGCATGCTTGACATGATTTAAACAAGCAAGATATGCTCTTAGATGTTGATCAAGAGGGAATGGCCTGTTGGCGTACATCACATCATGTGTGTGGATACCTTGCTGTGTGTGTATATTGCAGATCCCAGCAGTTTCCAGGTGCCTCCGCGGCGGTCCATTCGTAGCATTCGAAGGATCTGCAGGAAGCGCAGACTGCGCAGCGACGTGGCCAACACATTTCCCTGGTTTCGTACGGCAACCACCGGCACCGAAGCAATCAGTACAAAGATATCTGGCAACATAGAGAGTACCCATAGTGCACAGGGGGGATATATAAGTCTCTTCTGCTCACCAAGTCTGCATTTATTTGATTAAAAATTTAGTAAAACACATTTATTGTGATATTATTACAATTTAAAATAACTATTTTCTATTTGAATATATTTAAAAATGTAATTTATTCCTGTGATGACAAAGCTGAATTTTCAGCAGCCATTACTTCAGTCTTCGGTGTCACAAGATCCTTCAGAAATCATTCTAATATGCTGATTTGGTGCTCAGAAATGTTTTATTACTATCAATGTTGAAAACAGCTGTTTAATATTTTTGTGGAAGCTATAATACACTTTTTTTCAGGATTCTTTGATGAATGGAAAGTATAAAAGAACAGCTTATTTTTAAAATAGAAATCTTTTGTAACATTATAAATGTCATTTTTGATCAATTTAGTGTGTCCTTGCTGAATGAAATTATTTTCTTTCAAAAAACTCAGTGTGTGCATACTATATGTGCATGTTTCAATGTGACAGTGTGTTCGTTTGGGTCAGTGTGTTCAACTCACCCAGGACACACAGCGGTTTGCGGGCAAATTTGAGCCGTCCTCTCCAGCCCTTATATCGACAGCAGCAGCCGGCGGCCCATATCCTCAATGCAAACTCGCCTCCAAAAATAAAGATGGTAAATGTCTCCTACAGGTGAGAGAAACATCCAGTCATTTTCCTCTCAACCATTCAATCTCACACACAAGCATTGAATTGGCTGTGAACAGAAGAAACAAACTCACCAGAATCACCAGCCAGTGAGCCGAATCTTCCTCGTGCTCTTTGAACGTTGTTAAAATTGACAGAATCAGACATCCCAAAACAATCAGAAACCTAGAGATTCAGAAACATACAGTGAGCGGGACCTTTAACCGGGGTTACTGTTGTTAACTAAAATTAAAACCATAAAAAAAAAAATGTAATTAAAAAGAACTTAAATAAAATATAAAAAGGTAAACGTATTTTATTTCAAATGTTTCCAAGGAAATATTTCTCATTTTTGTTTAGTTTAGGTTGAAGTACTAAAATAATTTAAACTAAATAAACTAAAACTAATAAATAAAAAATCAACTATATAGACATATTAAAAATGAACACGCAACAAATCAAAACTAAAACTTTAAATAAATTAAAGCGAAAACAGAAAATATGAAAATCTAATTCAAAATATAAACAAAAATATAACAGTATATAATTGATACTAAAATAACACTCACTGCCTTTGACCAGACTGGAAATTTTCATTTTATATATAAACATATCAGTTGGAAAAAACTGGGATGAAGATCTTTTTTAGTTGCTATGGATACCTCAGCTGAGTCATGATAAATATATATATATATATATATATATATATATATATATTTTTTTTTTTTTTTTCAGAAAGACCTGCTACCTTTAGATATAAACGATCATGTTATCATTTTACCAGCAGAGGAGGCTGCTGAATACACTGGACTGTATTGGGAGAGGGAGAGAGAGAGAGAGAGAGAAGGAGGGAGAGAGAGGGATGTATTAACATCCTCCCTTCTCACACACTTGCACAACAATCCCATTATAAGCTTAAGTTTTTACTACAGGTAATCAGAAACCCGGTGCTACTGTATACTGTATAGGATGATCATTAAATTTCCTTCCTGAATTTCAAGCCAAATAATGACACATGACACATGCTGTGCTTGCTTATCTGGGTAGTTAATTATGAGTACGGAAAATAAACTTTCAATTCTGTCTTCATTTACTCGTCCCCATGTCTTCAGAAAACCGTAATATGATTTTTATGCTCCACAAAGGATAAAAAAGACACACCTTAAAGGTAGCATAATAGAGTTAGAGTGAAGGAGACCATATTCAGCAAATAACAAGTCGGCATAAAATAAAATTTCAACCTATCTATTTAATAAATTATTGTTATAGATCTTATCTTATTATTCATCCATGCATGTCTCATTTTTCAAAAACGATTTTTGACATCGTAATTTTTAACTTCCAGTGAAATGATACACTTCTCTCTGGTGACATACACAGGACTGCTCAAATTGTTTAGTCCACCCCTTTCTTACAGTCCAAGCTCACTCCAACCAATCAACAACCGGTGGATTGAACCAAGTCCCACCCTACATTCTTTTATTTTTCAATAATCTGTTTCACTCAGATGTATGTCACAATCCGAAAGAAAAGATCTGTCGCAAACCAGGGTTATTATAGTTAACTAAAGCTAAAACCATAAAAAATTGTTGGGTTTTTTTTGTTAACATTTCAAGTAACATTTTTGTTACTTGAAATAAAATAAAGATTAACCGAAATAAAGCTAAATATATATTTTTCATTTTTATTTAGCTTAACTTGATGTACTAAAATAACTAAAACTGAAATAGAAATAATAAAAAACTATATTTACATTTTTTATATATAAAAATGGCAAAAACACGCAACCAAATTACTAAAACTATAACTAAAATGAAAATGTAAAATACAGAAAAATTTAAAATATTTTTAGTACCTTTAATGATACTAAAATAATACTGGTCGCTACTTCCAAAACAACGCAATTTTAAAGCTTTAAAAATACTGGAATATAGTATAGTGCACATAGAGTTATGTGAGCCATTAAATGTTTATAATGCACCATGTTCATTTTTGGGGGGTGAAACACAGAAACACAACCATTGTGTTTATTTAGTATAAATGTGTGCAATGATTTGAGTATGCAAGTGACTGAGCGAATGCGTGCGTGATTAAGCCGCTGTCCTCCGATGCTGTTTTCTGCAGTGTTGTTCTGTTTCGTCTGGGAATCTAGCTGTACTGTGTGGAATCCAGCAGAGCACACATGCAGACTCACGTAATTCCCTTATCATCCTCACTCTATTTGTCAGTTGACCTGTTGGCAGTTACTATGGTTTCGCATTTGTAGGTTATATCTGTGCTGTTTCCATGGTTACACATATTCATCACACACACATACACTCTGCTACATGCTCAGCATCTAGTCTCCAGTGAAAGCTTTTAGCATCAGCACACTAATAACCTGTAATGGTCATACCTCTCTCTCTTTTACTGTGTGTCGGTTAAAGTGTTGCAGTATTCTCTTGATGATCGATGCTTCCCTCAACACAGAACGATGGAATGCCATGACCCTCAGCGTGCTCATTCTCAACTATTGCTCTTAAAATATGATTATGTTAATAATGAAAAGGGCTATTAAGAGAGAAAACTGCTCTACAACCCAGAATGTAGAGCTGATTATGAAAAACTATGATTATGAATATATATATATATAACCAATCTAGGCCACAAATTGACCAAACAAATGTGTTTGATAACACTGCACATACACAGTGTTTACATTAACTGTCCAGTTATCCACACAATTAAAAATGTTAATTATTTTGTATTAATTGTTATTCAAAAAAATGTATTTAATCTAATATGTGTGTGTGTTTTAGCATATTGTTAAACATTTTAGCATCCCTTTTCAACTCTCTGTGACTATTACAATTTCACAGGGGTTTTTTGGTGTTGTAACAGTGAACAAGACAACGGAGTAGAGATCCAAATGTAGCTTTAATGATAAGAGCGTAGTCAAAAACAGGCAGGGGCAAATAGAGATGGCTGACACGAAACTGACGTTTCAACACGTGTCGAGATCCCGAAGCGCGGATGTTTCGAAACACTGCTCCGAAGTGTGATTCGAAACACCCATTTCACATGACTACGTTTTACAAGTGTTTCGAGACGGGCATACCTGCCGAATCTGCATTTGATTGACAGGGTCGGGAACAAACCACACAATCGCACATCTGTCTCAACCTAACTCTCACAAAGTATAAAAGTGGAGTTAACGCAGCAGAACAATTAATATTTTTAAATAAAAATCTTTATGTAAAAAATGTCAGACGTTGTGGCTTGATGTCTTTTATTAATGTTACTTTTTCATGACCAAAATAACATATTTATTCACAAAGAGTTCATTCAGTTGTCAGAGAGACGTTACAACAGAACAATAAAAACACGACTTTTAAATGTTTATTATAATTATATTCATGGTTTACCCAGGATTCGAACTTAAGGTGACAGGCTCTGACGACATGCCAGTTGACCACACTAACCACTCCCCCAACACACTGTTTCAGAGCAATAATTGAAAATGACCACTTGGGTGTCACCGTAGATACGGGTTTTGAATTGTTTCGAAGCCTCTGCACATTTGCTTCGACTGTTTCAGTGTTTCACAAAGCCTTGGGCAGACCACCACTAGGGTCAAACACCAGCAAAACAACAATAGCAGAGGCAAGGCAAAAGAGTAAACCACATAACAGGCGACAGTCAGGGCAGGCAGCAAACAATCATAAACCAGGGAAACAGTCCAGATTAAAACCACAAGGGTAAACATTGAAATGGAGTCCGGGAGGAAAAAGTGATGGAGCCCTCTGATAGCAAGTGGGAGGAACAACAGGGATCGGATTCATGACAGGTGTGAGGTGAGCAACACATCTAATATTACATAATCAAATCTTTGTGAAGTCTATAATATCAAAGCCAGAAAAAATTATGGTGGTGTCTTATTTAATCAAATCAGATGACTGATTGATTTTTCCGTTCTGCTGGTTCGTCTGGTCAGAGGAGAACTGGCCCCCCGCCTGAGCCTGGTTTCTCCCAAGGTTTTTTCTCCATTCTGTCACTGATGGAGTTTTGGTTCCTTGCCGCTGTTGCCTCTGGCTTGCTTAGTTGGGGACACTTCATTTCCAGCGATATCGTTGACTTGATTGCAAAGATATTATTTAAACTGAACTGAGCTGGATGTTGACATCACTGAATTCAATGATGAACTGTCTTTAACTGAAAAATGAGTGTTTACTATTGTCATTTTGCATTATTGACACTATTTTCCTAATTAATGCTGTTCAGTTGCTTTGTCACAATCTGTATTGTTAAAAGCGCTATATAAATAAAGGTGACTTGACTTGACTTGACTGCATTCCAGCGACAAGATAAATGTGTGTGATCACCTAACAGGCATCACTAATGTGAAACTGTTGATCGTCATGTGTTGATGTATTCATTTGTCTGAAGTTACAAATTTGTGGACATTCATATGTTGCAGCTTAGTTTTAATTAAAGAATTCCCCAAAATAAAATAAAATGATGCATAATTGATGGTGGTGTCTTATTTCAAAATAAAAATCAGACTGTTTTCCAGCAACAACAAGTGTCTGATCAGTCAATAGGTGTTGTTTATGTATAACCATTGACAGTCACGTGTTGATGCGTTCATTTGTCTAACATCAGAAAGTTGTGGACATTTATAACGAGCCGTTTGTGCAGCTTAGTTTTAATAAAAGCTCTTTTTGGATTGGCGAGGAAGTTAAAAAATGTCCTGTATGTTTTCACAGTATATCAGACTCTTTTATCCAACAGTATCAAGGAAAATTAGATTGTTCGTAAAATGACCCCTTCAGTGCTGTTTACAAAGAACAACAGAATGTTAGAGATGTTTGTTGAATATAGAGGTTGGTGAGAGCAATCCACACCAATCAATAGTGATTCAGTTGGTAAATGGACACAGTAAAATCTGGCATCATTTTATAGTCCATTGAATGGAGCCAACTATGCAGTGTGCAGTTTTTAACCGCCAAATAAGACCATCGACATGGGGTAAACATGATCAGTGTATCATTATGAAAACATTATTTCTGAATTTTATCTGTATAATGTATAATCTGTATAAATAATTTAACGCAAAATTACTGAAGCACAATTTCTATTCTAACCCTTAACGCAATTTTGCTTCTCTGCTTGCGATTAGAAGGAAAAGTTTTCGGTCCAATGATCCA